TGTTGATCAGAGTCTGCTTTATTATTATGCAGTCCTCTTTCCTAGTCTTATCCCAGTCTCCCTCTTGCTCCATAAAATCCGTCTGCTCTACCCCTTGTTCACCTATTTCATTCGACTCCTGCCACCACATCTGTCCTACTCGAGGCGTTATTCGCCCTCACCTGTGTCTGGGTCACTAATTCGAGGCGCAAGCCTCTGAGTGTCATGGTCACCCCTTTGATACATGTACCACGTCTCTGGTACAACAGACCTACTGTCAGCCAACTAGCTCTGGTCCCCGCCGTCTATCCTGTTTATAGCCCTAATAACAAGTCTATGATTTGCCATGCCTTAGTCTTTTGTGTGTCAACCCACAAATGTTGTGGTACAGCTTGTTTTGATTTGGTTCAATGTTGAACCACAACATTTCTGGGTTGGCACACAAAAGACTAGGTCATAGGGAGTAATAGGCTTGGTATTATACATATAACGAGGATAGAAACAGTGGAAGCCAGAGCTGGTTGGCTAACAATAGTCGTGATTCCATGATCACGTTTAAGATCAGACACGTGTATTGTTAGCCAGACAGCTTAAGTCTCTACCTTGTATTTCCTGTTTCTATCTATAATATCATGACTATCACTTCTATTGTCCTAGTCTCTTGTGTGCAACCCACAAATGTTGTGGTTCTACTTGTTTTGATAAGGCTCACATAAGACGTCTCCTCTTGGCTTCTGATTCTTCTTTTTTCATCCCCTTGCGATCTCTTTTCCTAAAATTAAGGATATTACCTTGATCCAGTCGTCTTCTATTTGCTGATCTTTCAGTTGCCTGGTCTTCTCCTAGTTTGTTTAGGCAATATGCAAAGTTTTCGCAGATCCTGCCTTCTTCAAGTCTCCTGTTCATTAGATTTCTCTCAGTCATTACATCAATGGGCTCTCGGATCTTGCGTTTTCTTGTATTTTTACCATATCCAGCCAAACTATCGGTCGATTTCCAGTCGATTTCCAGTCGATTTTATGCCCTTCCGTGCAACGGGTTCTGCTATTTCGAATCTTTGTGTATCCATGTTCCTGCAGATCTTTGATGTTGCTTGATTCGTAAGCCGATTTTTCTTCCTGTTTCACCTACATACTTCTGCTCACAGTTTCTGAACTCCCGAAAATTCAAGTTTATCCGTCTTCCCGTGTTGTGTTGGCAGACCGGTAAAAAGTGTTTTCGTCTCCTTTGTTATCACCTTAATACTCCATTTTCCTAATAAAGGTCGCAATTGTTGGCTCAGTTTTGATGAGAACAAGCAGATCCACTTTTGGTTGTTATCCTCATTCCTGATCTGATTTTCATAAAATTCAAGTTGAAATCGGCCATTTATAGCCTCCGCATTTTTCTGTATAAATTCTTTAAGGAATCCATTACTTAGACAAATCCGTGTCAGTTTGTCTAACTCCTCGTACCAAAAATCTTTGTCTGTTAGTCGTAAACTTCTGAGGATCAAACTCCTCAGTATTCCGATCTTCAGTCTGTGGTTATGATGAGACTGGAAATTAAGGATTATTCCCGCATACGAATTCTTTCTGTATAGTTTCCTCATGAGTGTCTCTCTGGAGTGTATGACTTCTACATTCAAAAAGGGTAGTCGTTCATCTTCCTCCACCTTCATTGTTAATTTAATTCTTTCATCAAATTGGTTAATGAAATTCAACAATTTAATTAAATTTTCCTTACCATGTGACCAAAGTGCAAAGTAGTCATCCACGTATCACATGAGCACTCTTGGTTGCAGTGGTGAC